CATTTTTTGGGGGGACCAAAATGGGAGGCTTTGCTGCTTGGCTTCCCTTGCCAGAAACATAAGGGTAGGACTAGCCTGGGCTGGATGCAACCGCTTGAAGTCAAATCGAGTCAAATCCAAGCCCTCGTGGTGTCAAGCACCAAATTGAGCTGCGTACTGGCTTGCAACCCCCCTAAAACAAAACAACACAAGCCCTGAGCCAAGCCCTTTCTCTTGCTGATTCTCAGCAGGGAATTTCTACAACAAGGGTTTGGGTCATTCCCGAAAATTCCACCTATTATTGATCAGCCAGCCTCTAATTGGCGGTTTGGATTGGCGGTTTGGTGGTCGGGTGGGGTGGTTTCCCATTTACCCTCTTCAAGAACCAGGGGTTCAAATCCAAATCAAGTTGTGTCTTTCAAGCCATGTCCAGCTCTAAAGGAGGCAACTGGCCGGGAAACAAAAGGCGATCGCGTTTTACGCACAAACGATCCTTACGGATCACCCCATTCACTTAGCTCACACAAGGACAGCTCACTACTTGAACAATGGGCCAAAACGGTTTGCTGGTTGAAAGGCAAATGAAGGAAGCCCAAAACATGCAACAGTTACAATGGTCAGTGATCAGTGTCTGGCAATGAAGAAAGATGTTGATTGCTCCAGTCGCCAGTCAGGCGAAGCCAGCAACTAAGAAACATTAAGAGCCCAAACGAAACAGGACTTGAGTGCTGGGGGGAACCAACCCCTTATGGACCTTCAAAATAAACCTTTGGGGCCATGACCAAAAATACGGACCAAAAAGGGGAAGCCAAAAAGGGGAGATCCGGTCCATTCGCTTCGGGCAACTGAGAGGGGGAAAAAAATGGATCTGGACCTCGAGGGACGCAAACAGAATCTGCCGAGCTGCGAAGTACTGCAGCCCCGGGAATCTCGCCTTGGGGCAGATCAAATGCGGGGTCTTCTATCAGACCGGCAAGATGTTCGGCCCGTTCCATGGCAACGTGGGTTGGGAGCTATGTGAAGTGCAGTGTTCCCCCCCGCTGGTAGTTCTGGCAAGCGTTTCTGCCACACAGGTGTCCCACTGTCGGCCAAACAAAGCACCGCCTGCGAAAAGACTTCAAAGTGATCATCCGTCTTGTTAGTGAAGCTGAACTGCTGAGCTCATCCTGTTCATGCGCATGATTGATACTACTCTTGTGCTGCGTATGGCCCGTATGGCTTCAGACTGCTTTTGGACAACTAACCCCAAAACACCACAGTGGATGTCCCAAATATTGCAAGTAAATCAACCACACCCAACCACAAAACCATGGTAAATAGTGGGAGCACCATATAGCCACCACAAAAGGGTGAATACCCGATTGTCCTTTGGGGTGGCGGCTCCTACCTTGGTCAACATTCAACCTTAAACATCTTAAACCTAGGTGTTGAATCTGTCTTTTTATGGGTGTGGCTGTTTTAGGGAACCCTTTTGCGGTTGGGTGTAAAGGGGTTCCCCAAAAGACGACCAGTGCTCGCAAGGTGGTCCTGTTTTAGACACACCCTCACTTGCCCCTTAGGGACCTGGACATATAAACGGCTCACCTTTTGGAACTTTGACCAAAAATAGCCAAAAAAACAGGCTTCAATCAGGCGCCCACTCGCTTGGGACCAGTGGCTTTAGTCTCTGAAGCCCGCCAGGGCAGCGATTTTTGTGACCCCCAGCCCCTTGGACCCTCAATGTGAACACCTAGAACCCTCATTTTTTTCAGATCTTGGGAACTTTCATCCATCCCCGGGTTTTGAGCACGTGGCTCACCCCCCCCCGACCCCCGCCCCCCGCGTCCCGTTTCCGTCCCCTTCCGAGCTGCAAAGTCCGAGAACTGGTGCCAGTAGCGCATGGCGTCGAAGCGCGCGCCCCGGCGCAGCCACCAGCCTGGCAGATGGATGCTGGGCATGGGAATGGCTTCCCTTTAACTTGGGTGCTGTAGATCCTCCCACGAAAAGTTTAACTTTTGCTGGTCAAGAGGAAAGATGAAGGGAATCCAAAAAGCTATAGTTTAAAGATCCAACCCAATAGTGGTAGAGTTAAGGCAATAAACATCGAAGCCTGGCAGAAACAAAGGAAAACCAGATTAAAACAAGCCCTATGAGGATGAACCACCAACTCACCAACTGGTGAGTGGATTCTGTCCACACAGGCCCGCGGGCTCAAGAGGTGCGACCCGGTAGCCCGGACCCGAAAAACACCACTAAGGTCCTATAAGAAACCTTTGGGCTGGGGCTTTCTGCAGAAAGGAAGCGACCCCAGTCTGCTGACACGGCTTTGAGGTGGCGGACAATGCCAAGGGAAGCTTTGAGCTGGCCCAGGACAGAGCCAAAGCATCTTGTTGCGCTTCCCAGAAGGAAGCTCATGACATGCCCTACTTGCCGTGCCCATCTCTTTGTTTGATATTTTTTTGCGCCAGCTTCACCGCTGACCTACCATGTTCTTACAGACATCCAATGGGTAATTAGCTTCCAGGGCCGCCCCGTCTATATATCGGCAAATCTGGATGCTAGCTCCCTGTCTCAGCTCCCTTCCAGCTAGTGATCTGCACTCTCTCTGACAGGGATATCCCTTTCAAAAAGCCGGGCTGATGCCAAGCCCAGAGCGCTCAGCAAGCAACCGCGCCGCAAAGCTTCCGGAACCTCCATGGCTGGTGTCCAACTTGAGCTTCTGAACAGGAACCTTGACCTCCAAAGGTTACCCTTAACCCTTTTACTCTTGGTATGGTAGCAAAAAACTAGGACCCCCAGTAAACATGAACAGAACCAAAACACTAAAAAACCAAAAAACATGCCAAGAACAGTGAAGTTAACCAAAGCCCCACCCAGAATTCCTCGCTTCCACCTTCGGGTCCCATGCCAGCGACCCTCGCCCCCCTCAGCGCGACGAAGCTCGGCCCTAAGCTGGACGGCCTCCCTTGCGCATCCGTGTCCAGTCGTTGGAATCCCGCGTGGACATCTGGAAGGGCGTGTAGGGGTGCCAAGGCCCACCTGGCGCCAAAGGATTTTTGGAAACCGCGCCCACAGGGAAAGCTCGGAGTGAGCAGGGCTCACTGGCCATCAAAGATTTCCGCAAGGATGAGCCAGTTGACCCCTGCAGCTCCACAAGCCCCAACCCTCATGACACCGAGAGGTCTCTTACTTTTGCAACTTTTTCAGGCTTGGAATCCCTACAAAACCGCTTCGCACTAATTGGAGTGGAGGCTTGGTGGTTTGGGAATAGTTTCAACCATCCATTTTTAAGAAGCAGAAGCTCTCCCCCAAACCACCGGGCTCCAAACCTGAAAATCGGCCACCCCACCTACCCCACCCACCCCACCCAACCCACCCAACCCCACTCCCCATCTCCCCTCGCCTCCCCTGGACCGCTCCAAGGGCAGGGGCGCCTCGTTGGGATCCGAGCGCCTCACCTGGGTCTTCCGTTTCTATTATTTTTCCCTGTTTTTCTCACCATCCCTTGTCTTCCATTTGTTTAAGACTATTTGTGTTTTTTTTAATCCCCTGTGGGTTCAAAAGGAATCGATCACTACTGCAAAGATTTTCTTTTTTCCAGGGGGCGAAGAAGCAAACCGATGGGGTCAAGCTGTAGTTTTTTAGCTGCTGCGGCGTGTTTGAGGCGCGGTACCCTTTGAGGGCTGCTCAAAACGGAGCGTTGGCCAATCCGTTTCTCCACTATCCCATTTGGAAAGCCACTACAAGGGGATCGGTTCCTTGCGTAACCCAAGACAAGGATTTGGGATTGCCTTTGAACAGCCCAGCTTGTTGGGATTGTGTAAAGGAAGCTGATTGCTACCACTAAATTGTCCAAACCCAAAAAGTTTATATCCAGGAACACGCGGGGCGAATAAGCGTGTTTTGGGTCGTGGGTTGGCGGATGGTGTGTGTGGCTTAGTGGGTTTCCCCAAAGGAAGTTAAAGGGTCAATCAACTCAACATGGTCCTCCAGTAGAGAGGCTAGAATAAGGGTACCCTTTCTTTTTCTGTCCTCTATTTTAGTAGGGGCTTGCCCTCCCGAAAAAAAGGGGTGAGAAGGGCACCAATTGCTGGGGGACCTAGTCAACATGGGCCAACATGGGAGAGCCAAAAGGTCTGGTCGTAGATCCCGAGTGGGTGGATCCATCGGTCCAGGAGAGGCCACTCTCCAGGAAACACACCATTTTCCAAAAGTTCGGGGGTACAGATTTCACCAAGGAGTGGCTGGGTGTCTGTGAGTGGCTTCACAAAGAATCTTCAAGATCCAAAGGCCATAAATCTGACCAAGTCAAATGGCGCAAAGGTTCAGGGAGCCCTTACGTAGTTGGTGGTTTGGATTGGTGCTTTGGGGCTTTGAACCCCTCGGAACACCTCCAAACCAGGCCAACCACCAACTGGACCACGCCATAGACGACCTTTTGGAATGATAAATTGCGGAACATGGGGAATCAAACCCATCTAAACCAGCGGAACGCATGCATGTCTAGCCAAAGCAAGCTAAAAGGACACGCGTACCCCCAACACGGCACCCAGAACGCGGCTTTCGATACTTCAGACTCCGTTTGGAACAACTGGAACCCCAGTTGAAAAGCAACCAACACCTTCATGTCCCCGAATTTCCCAGAATCGGTACCTCCCCCATTCTTTCCAGGGATCCATCTTTCTAGAAAACCCCTGGAAACACAGCAAAAAGGGATCCGGTTTTTGCAAAGAACAATGGTTGAAAATGGACCAGGAAACAACCCCCAGAAAATCCACGCAGCCAAGTGGCCGCACCCATTGAGGTGCCCGAGTCTTTGTCGGTCTCGTTGGCAGCCACCGCCAGGAAGAACTTCCTTTTGCCCGGCGCCAGGCGAAAAAAATCGAGATCGCTCGCGACCCGGCTCCCCAAAAAAAAGAGGAAAAATGGGGACGCCGCCGGGCACCTGGGAATCTGTTCTTCAGGCCCCGGCAGACCGCACCCGCGCGGTCTTGCAGCCGCCGTCCTTTTTTGCGCGGCAGGCTTGGGCTGGCGTCGCAATCTCACGGATTCGCCGCGCCCCCGTCCCGTACGAAGGGCAGCTCCCGCGCTAAGCCTTGGCGCGGAAGCAACTAATACCCCTTCCCCCCCCAAAAAAAAACAAAAAAGACAACTTCCGGGGGCCGAAATCCCCCTCACCAACTCCACTTGGGGGATTTCTGGACCAAAAACCACGGTGTTTCCTGGAAAATCAGGCCTTCAACCACTTCAGCCCCCAACGGGTATCCTCAAACCAAACACCTGCTCATTCCACTCAGGTCATTCCAACTACCAGGAGCTCCTGAACAAAAGCTCCCTCTTCATATCGGCAAAATTGGATACCCCCAGTTTAGGGGTTTAGGGGTTTAGGGGTTTAGGGGTTTAGGCCTCCGTGTCACGTGGGCCAGGCCGAGCAGCAAGGCAGTGGCCACGCTGTCTTCAAGAAGTCGTGGCTCAAAGCTACAGGTGCAGTTGGCCGCTGCTTCCTGAGCTCAACGCATGCACTTGAATAAGGGTACCATTTTTTTCTATGTTTTAGTAGGGGAGCCCTGGTGAACCTTTTGGAACCTTGACTAAAAATGGAACCAATCAGGGAAACCGGAAGGTCAAACGGTCAAAAGGTCGACTTTGCGCAACTGAGGCCGGAAGACTTGAACATATGGCTGTTGCTCAAAAAAGCGGAATTCCAAAATGGCTTGCCCTGGTAAGTGGAAACATGGTTGCCAAAACCTGCGGAATTAACCCCTCCTGTCTAATTTGAGCCACAGCCATATTGTAGTGATGCCCCTTTGACACCCACAAAACCTCGGCTCAGGGGAATGCTCCCCTCTCCATAACTTGCCGGGGAAAAGAACGTGGGGCGTGTCGAGCCGTTAAATCAGAGTGGCTTCATGTAACCACCACTATTTACTCAGATTTGCCACCAGGGTGTTCATATAACCACTCTTTGGATGTTCATATAACCACCACTCTTTACCCTTCAGGAATATCAGAACATCCAAATTGGGCCAACCGATTTCGGGCCGCCATCCCACTTGCTCAGTTCACCGGCCGGAGTTGTTTTGGGCGATGGTTAGGGTCTTCGTAGGTTGCCTCCCCTACGCTCGGCGAAGCAGGAACGTGGAAATGGCAATCTAAGCCTAAGCTGATTCTATTATAATTCCAAAAGATGAATTAAGGGCTTCCCAAGTAAAGGACCTTTATCATGGTGAGCTCGTTATACCCCAGGTGAGCTCGCCATAAAATGGAAAATCCTGTTTCCTGGCAAGATGTGACGGCAGGCGAAACTAGCCTCAACAAACCAAGACCATGGACATTTTGAACAAACGGCAAAGCGTGCGTCCGGAGCCCAGCGATGAGTTGTCCCCGTTGATTGTCCTTCAAAGGGTTTCCCTTGAGTCTCCCTATGGTCTCCTTTAAACAAAACTGCACCAAAAAGGCTTTCCTCAAAAACAGACGAGCCACCCATGTGGATTTGTATCAACATCGAGGACACCCCCCAAAATGGGTGGTTTTGGCTTCCCATCTCCATCCAAAAAAGGGTGCCGTCAAAGAAAGACACGCCCATGCCGCATTGGCAAGCAAGAGGTGGCGCTTAATTCTCCACAGGGAGAGTAAAGCTTCCAGCCCCCACCCCCTGCCAAAATAAAGAAGCACAGGGCACCCTCAAAGGGAGCTGAACAAAGGTTTTGCCCTTTGGTTAGACTAGATGGCAAATCCACCCAACCGAACAGATCCTTGGACGGGTCACAACCTCCACCATGTCTATTGAACTCCGCCACCTAGGGTGTCTATTTTTTGTGCATTGCTTGGGCCATGCTTAAGGGAAACTAAAGGAAACCCACCTCTTGGAGAGGGTTCCCCTAAATTTTCAGACAAACCCACTTGTACGGACTGTACGGACCCCTACGTCCCTGAGTCAGTAAGGTTTCAAACTTGGGGAACGGCCCCGTCTGTTCCCTTTCACCCCCGGATCCAGCTAGGCTTTCTTGCTTGCAGGCTACCAATGAACCAAAGGGAAACAATAACAACCTAAAAACCTTAACTCGGTTGCGTTCTGCTCCCCTGCTAAAAGTTTAACTTTTAGTGGATTAGTGGAAAAGCCATTGGTTGGCCAAAAGTTAAAGTCCTAACATCCAAGCAAGATGCACCAAAGTTAAAACACGATCCAACAACAGTGAAGACTTACAGAACGCCTGCTCGCTCCTGAACCGCTCCGCTCCCTCTTTAAAAGCAACCATTGAAATACCCCGTAGAGCTCCCTGGCACGGCGAGCCCTTCCAAGCACCAGCTAGGTCAACATTAAAAAAAAAAAAAACGAGCCGAGCCACCGAGCCGAGCCACCGAGCCGAGCCACAAAACATGGAAATTGATTTTGGTGGAACCCCGAGCGGTCACCTTCCCATGGGCTCTTTACGGACCTTTCGAGCCTCGAAATTCGCAGCTTCCCCCTCGCTGGACCTCACACGAATCGTCCAGGGTCACACATCGACCACCCCACGCTCGATCGATCGATAGCCGCGGGGCGGGTCCAGCGTCAGCAGCGCCTCCAGGAACTCGCAGCCCGAGCTGGAGCTCGGCACCAGCTGCGCCATGGGCGGCTTCGCGTGCGCCGTGAACTCCAGGAAGTTGGGCAACGCGGAGACGTCCTTCCAGACCTGCGGAGAAGATGGGTTTTCCAGGTCTGAACTTTGAATAAGGGTACCAACGTTTTTCAGCAATTAGTCTATTCTTAGTAGGGGGACCCTCCCAACCAAAAAAAGGGGTGAGAAAGGGCACTACTGGGGGACCGAGCTGGGCTGGGGGACCTAGCCTGGGAAAAATACTCGGTTGCGAACTCTGCTCCCGGATCCCCTGCTAAAAGTTTTTAACTTTAGTGGTTTAATACGGAAAACCCATTAGCTGGCAAAAAACCTGCGAAAAAGATAGCCATGTGCTTCTTCGGCTTCAGGAAACATCGGTTGCCTTTAAAACCAAGAGGGGGGGGGGGGGGGGAAAACACAATATCTCGAAAAAGCTCTTTCCATAGCCAGGTCGTTTGTTGGGGGGGGGGGTAGGGCTACCCTTCTAGATGCGAAAACAGTCGGTCGGGTGGCTCGGCTCATTTCAGCGAAATCGATTCGCTTTCAAACCAAGAGGTTCCAACAAGGGACATGGAGGAAACTCTGTGCGAAGATGGCATCTTGAAGGCTCAAGAGACCCACTTGCTTCAGTGATAGATTTCCTGTAAATCCAACAGGGGAAATAAAATATATTCTTAAGCAAATGCTGGAAGAAGAGAGGTTGCGAAGAGAACGGCGCAGAGAGCAGTTTTAGCGCAAGGGGCCGCAATCCAACAAGACGAGGAAGGAAAGAAAGAAGGAAGCAAAGAAAGAAGGAAGCAAAGAAGGAAGGAAGGAAGGAAGAAAGAAAGGAAGGAATGAAGGAAGGAAGAAAGGAAGGAAGGAAGGAAGAAAGAAAGGAAGAAAAGGGAGGAGAAAGGAAGAAAAGGGAGGAGAAAGGAAGAAAAGGGAGGAGAAAGGAAGAAAAGGGAGGAAAGGGCAATGGAGAAAGCAGCCAAACCTTGAGCGCAGGTTGGCCTGTGCATGGCGATACGTCACCAAATCCTGGCAACAGCTCGCTCGCGCCCGACCCACTGTGGATCTTCCCGGAAGGTGCCAAAAGAACGACACAACTGCTTGTGGAATCCCCAGTTGGGGCATGAAAGAAAAACCTGTGTTTCTAGATTGCTTGCCTCAGATGTATGCACTCTCGGGATTTGCGTCTTGAGTGAGACGGGCTCCCCCTGGAAGTCAAACAACCTAGGTTCTTCAGTAGAGAGGTTAGAAAAAGGGACCCTTTTTTTCTGTAGTCCATTTTAATCGGGGAACCCTCCCTTCCCCAAAAACGGGGTGAGAGAGGTCGGGCACCAATTGCTGCGGGACCTAGTAACTTCTTTCCGACCTGGGGCAGGCCTCTGGGGGATGGACTCGCTCGCGCCTCCTCAGTCGGAGTGCCTCTAAGCTCGATGACTTTTTGGAGCATGTCAAACCTCGCAGCCAGCGACCCGAGCGACGCAAGCGACCCGGGCTCCCAAAAGGAGGCAAACCGGAGGTAGCTGGCCCCAAAAAGCTTGGCATTACTAAAGTCATGCAATCCGGGTATGACTAGGCCCTCCAGTAGAGAGGTTAGAATAAGGGTACCAACCTTTTTTTCTGTAGTCTATTTTAGTAGGGGAACCCTCCCCGAAAAAAGGGTAAAAGGGCACTGCTGGGGGACCTAGGTTGGCACCCGCTAAAGTCATGCAATCCGGGTATGACTAGGTCCTCTAGTAGGAAGGTTAGAAAAAGGGTACCAACTTTTTCCTGTAGTGGATTTTGGTAGGGAACCCTCCCCAACAAAATCGTAAAAGGGCACTACTGGGGGACCTAGGTTTGCATCCGCTAAAGTCATGCAATCCGGGTATGACTAGGTCCTCTAGCAGAGAGGTTAGAAGAAGGGACCAGTCTCGAACCCTCCCCAAAAAAGGGTAAAACGGCACTACTGGGGGACCTAGGTTGGCATCCACTAAAGTCATGCAATCCGGGTGTGACTAGGTCCTCTAGTAGAGAGGCTAGAATAAGGGTACCAACTTTTTCCTGTAGTCTCGAACCCTCCCCAAAAAAGGGTAAAACGGCACTACTGGGGGACCTAGGTTGGCATCCGCTAAAATCATGCAATGCAATCCGGGTATGACTAGGTGCTCTAGTAGAGAGGTTAGAATAAGGGTACCAACTTTTTCCTGTAGTCCATTTTGGTAGGGAACCCTCCCCAACAAAATCGTAAAAGGGCACTACTGGGGGACCTAGGTTGGCATCTGAAAATTTTGGTCAGCTCACCCTCAACAAACCCTGGCTTGCGAAAGCGCCTTCGGGGTCCAACGTGGCAACCCTTCGCAGGGACTCTTCGCATGAGCAGGGACTCCCAAGAGCCCAAGCCGCAACTTTCCCAAGGGCCTTGGTGAGCCTCAGATGTTCTCCATGTGTGTGTGTGTGCATACTTTGCTATGTTATCTGTACATATATGAATTATATATATATATATATATCGATATGTTGCTGCATTCAGCTATTTGTTTATGTATACTAATGTGTTCTCGCATATCTATTTACTTCAGCTATATCCATTGTTCGTATTGATTCACCCATGTTTCTATGTAGTTATGTTTTCTGTATATCTATTCATTGATTAATTCAGCTATGGCTTTCTTGTATCCCAATATGGGTATGAATTTTAATAAGGGACCCTTTGATGGACATCATTTAGGTGGGGATGTATGTCCACCAATCACTTTAGAGGTGGTTCCAACTCTTAAAACTCATGGCCATCTTTGGTTGTGTTATATGTGCATATAAACATAAATATGTACGTATATATATATATATACATATATATATATTATATATTTATTCCGTTATGCTGTCTGTCTATGCTTTCTATGCGTATATACATATGTATCTATATTTTATATACATATGTACGGCTTTTTGGTATCCCAATATGGGTATGAAGTTTAACAAGAGGCCCTTTAATAGGTTGACGTTGGAAGGGCAGAAATTCTCAAATTCTAGCAGCTCTAGCAGTTAAGTCGTTGGATTCCAACCACCAAACCACAATAAGATCAAACATGTAAAAGGTTTCCCAACGCCAACCATGAAATGGGGACTTATAAAAAAGAAAAACATGCATCCTAGCACATCCTTACAGAACTCCGATCAGTCTCTCCTTCTCACTTCCCAAGTTGACTGGCCAAAAAAAGTTTGAACTTTCTATTTACCACTCAAATGGTCTTTCCAAAAAGTTTAAAGTCAACCAACTCAGGAAGTGAGCCTTAAGTGGTTGGATTTCAACCACTAAACCACTAGCCTTCCACTTACCCCTTAAAACTCCAAGGATTGGGGAAGTTAACCTTTTACAGACATATAGCCCATGTTACCCCCAGCCCTCTGGCCCGGCATCTCGCATCTTTCGCCCAGCCGCTCCCCGCGGCCGGGGAAGAGGGGATCCCTCCGCAGCAGCTCCGCCACCACGCAGCCCGCGCTCCACAGATCCACCGCCTGCACGGGTTTGGAACCCGGAAAAACCCCCCGGGGCGTTTGGAGGAAGCTCTTTTTGCTTGGGGCTGTTGGTGGTTTTGCTTGGGGCTTTGAGTGGTTTCGCTTGGGACTTTTGGTGGTTTTGCTTGGGGCTTTTGGTGGTTTTGCTCGGGGCTTTTGGTGGTTTTTAGTGGCTAGGTGACCCTTTTACCGGGATTTTCGGGGTTCGGAACGGTTCCAAGACTTTTGGGGTCTAGGTGAAGTTGCAGGAAGGCGGCTCCACCGCCTGACTAACATAGAAATCCGGTCTTTTGGGAAGCCATTCGTGGCTTTTGGAGGAAGCTCTCTTTTTGGGGGACGACCTTCCCCTAAAATAGACTACAGAACCAAAGAAACGGTACCCTTATTCTAACCCCTCTACCGGAGGACCTACGTGCTTCAAAGAAGCCCCTTCTGCCAGCGCAGGCGGAAGAAAAACCAAAAGCTCTCGCCTGGCCGTAGTGCTTTGCCCCGAAGAGAAGCTCCGGGGCGCGATACCACAGGGTGGTGCACATGCCTGGCTTGCGCGCGCGCGTGCGAGTGGGAGAGGCACATCAGAGGCAGCCGCTTTGAGGCGGAGGGAAAAGGACACCGGGCCCGGATGGGATCAAGAAATACAAGGTGATCACCTATTGGGTTGCCAATAACATTTAAAAATATGGGAACCCAAAACGGGGAAATCGAAAGGTCAGATATGGCTGAGTCACTTTGGTTGCAAGTGAGAATTTGTTCCAAGCTGGAAATCAGGCATCCGCAAGTTTGGGATGCTTCTGTTGGGAGGTTCGTTGACTTACTAAGTGGCAACCCTTCAGCCCCAGAAACCCTTCATCCGGGTTCCCCGGACCTGTTTCAACCGCTTCGACCGAGGCAGATCGCACCGCCACTCCTCCGGGCAACGGGGGGCAATGACTTGGTTGCTGCAACGACCCCCCTGCAAAACCTGAACAACTTTTTGGGGGGTTCGTGGAGAACCCCAACTTGAGTTCAACCAAAAAGTGAAAGTCTAAAGATCCGCTGCCCAATACCTCCATTTGCTCAAGCCCCCTGGAAAAAATGAGAAGTATGTCCAGTAGTGATAGACTCCCTTTAAAAAAAAGAAGAAGAAAAAAAAGAAAGAAACAAAACTTAACAAAAAGCAAGAATAGCAGCCAAGGCCAAAGGCGCCTGTCAGGGGCCGGTCGCCCTCGTGGCCGATGCTTCTGGTGAAGCCGAAGTCGGCGAGCTTGGCCACCCCCGTCCGGAAGCCTGCGGTGGGGCAACCGCGCCCACCAATCTAGGCTGGAATTCGGACCCCGGAAAAATGGTTTTGTTTTTTGTGTTTTTAGCCTGGTGAGTGGAAACCAAAACAAAGGGAACCCCCAAAAAAAGCAAAGAAAAGCAACAAAAAAGAAGGGCAGCTAATTCTGGGGAAGCAATGTCCAACGAGTGGGTGGCAACCAGGGGTGAAACCACCTCTTTAAACAACACATGCTTGGAGCTTCCCCTGAAAACAGAGAGAAGAACTGGGGCTGGCTCTTTTCGAAGCCAACTGCTTGGAGCTTCCCCTGAAAACAGAGAGAAGAACTGGGGCTGGCTCTTTTCGAAGCCAACTGCTTGGAGCTTCCCCTGAAAACAGAGAGAAGAACTGGGGCTGGCTCTTTTCGAAGCCAACTGCTTGGAGCTTCCCCTGAAAACAGAGAGAAGAACTGGGGCTGGCTCTTTTCGAAGCCAACTGCTTGGAGCTTCCCCTGAAAACAGAGAGAAGAACTGGGGCTGGCTCTTTTCGAAGCCAACTGCTTGGAGCTTCCCCTGAAAACAGAGAGAAGAACTGGGGCTGGCTCTTTTCGAAGCCAACTGCTTGGAGCTTCCCCTGAAAACAGAGAGAAGAACTGGGGCTGGCTCTTTTCGAAGCCAACTGCTTGGAGCTTCCCCTGAAAACAGAGAGAAGAACTGGGGCTGGCTCTTTTCGAAGCCAACTGCTTGGAGCTTCCCCTGAAAACAGAGAGAAGAACTGGGGCTGGCTCTTTTCGAAGCCAACTGCTTAGCATCCTTGCCATCAACATAGGCTGGCGATGTCTTCCATTTAAGCAGGGGTTCCAGTGGAAAACATGGGGAAGCTGCCAGCTTCTAGTCCCTGAGTTGCGATATCAAGGGAAGGCCTGCCAAGTGATGAAGCTCTTGGAGCTACAGTGGAACCCGCTCAGTCCCAAGACCTCGCTCACAATCAATCCTGAACCCTGCTAGATGGTATTGGTTTCCCTGGCCGTTGTTGTGTCCGGGCTATTGGGGCAGGGATGCGCCAATTTCAGGCCACGCCAAACTGGCAGTTTGGATTGGAGGATTGGTGAGTTAGATCTTCTGGTTCTTTTGGAGGAATCACCCCGAAACGCCCCCTCTTCATATCGGCAACTCCAACTTCTTGGCTTCTTGGCTCCCTTCCAAACCACAAGCTAGTCCTTCGGCTTGTGATTGACGGCTCAGGGATGTTCAACTAGGTCCTCCAGTAGAGAGTCTACAATCGTTACAATAAGGGTACCAACTTCTTCCTGTAGTCTACTTTAGGGGAACCCTCCCAACCAAAACGGGGTGAGAGGTCGGGCACCAATTGCTGGGGGACCTAGACAATAAGGGTACCATTTTTTCCTGTAGTCTACCCTCCCAACCAAAACGGGGTGAGAGGTCGGGCACCAATTGCTGGGGGACCTAGACAATAAGGGTACCATTTTTTCCTGTAGTCTACCCTCCCAACCAAAACGGGGTGAGAGGTCGGGCACCAATTGCTGGGGGACCTAGACAATAAGGGTACCATTTTTTCCTGTAGTCTACCCTCCCAACCAAAACGGGGTGAGAGGTCGGGCACCAATTGCTGGGGGACCTAGACAATAAGGGTACCATTTTTTCCTGTAGTCTACCCTCCCAACCAAAACGGGGTGAGAGGTCGGGCACCAATTGCTGGGGGACCTAGTAGTCTACCCTCCCAACCAAAACGGGGTGAGAGGTCGGGCACCAATTGCTGGGGGACCTAGACAATAAGGGTACCATTTTTTCCTGTAGTCTACCCTCCCAACCAAAACGGGGTGAGAGGTCGGGCACCAATTGCTGGGGGACCTAGACAATAAGGGTACCATTTTTTTCCTGTAGTCTACCCTCCCAACCAAAACGGGGTGAGAGGTCGGGCACCAATTGCTGGGGGACCTAGACAAAAGGGTACCATTTTTTTCCTGTAGTCTACCCTCCCAACCAAAACGGGGTGAGAGGTCGGGCACCAATTGCTGGGGGACCTAGACAATAAGGGTACCAATTTTTCCTGTAGCCTACCCTCCCAACCAAAACGGGGTGAGAGGTCGGGCACCAATTGCTGGGGGACCTAGACAATAAGGGTACCAATTTTTCCTGTAGCCTACCCTCCCAACCAAAACGGGGTGAGAGGTCGGGCACCAATTGCTGGGGGACCTAGACAATAAGGGTACCAATTTTTCCTGTAGCCTACCCTCCCAACCAAAACGGGGTGAGAGGTCGGGCACCAATTGCTGGGGGACCTAGACAATAAGGGTACCAATTTTTCCTGTAGCCTACCCTCCCAACCAAAACGGGGTGAGAGGTCGGGCACCAATTGCTGGGGGACCTAGACAATAAGGGTACCAATTTTTCCTGTAGCCTACCCTCCCAACCAAAACGGGGTGAGAGGTCGGGCACCAATTGCTGGGGGACCTAGACAATAAGGGTACCAATTTTTCCTGTAGCCTACCCTCCCAACCAAAACGGGGTGAGAGGTCGGGCACCAATTGCTGGGGGACCTAGACAATAAGGGTACCAATTTTTCCTGTAGCCTACCCTCCCAACCAAAACGGGGTGAGAGGTCGGGCACCAATTGCTGGGGGACCTAGACAATAAGGGTACCAATTTTTCCTGTAGCCTACCCTCCCAACCAAAACGGGGTGAGAGGTCGGGCACCAATTGCTGGGGGACCTAGACAATAAGGGTACCAATTTTTCCTGTAGCCTACCCTCCCAACCAAAACGGGGTGAGAGGTCGGGCACCAATTGCTGGGGGACCTAGACAATAAGGGTACCATTTTTTTCCTGTAGTCTACCCTCCCAACCAAAACGGGGTGAGAGGTCGGGCACCAATTGCTGGGGGACCTAGACAATAAGGGTACCATTTTTTCCTGTAGTCCACCCTCCCAACCAAAACGGGGTGAGAGGTCGGGCACCTAGACAATTGCTGGGGGGTGAGAGGTCCCAATTGCTGGGGGACCTAGACAATAAGGGTACCATTTTTTCCTGTAGTCTACCCTCCCAACCAAAACGGGGTGAGAGGTCGGGCACCAATTGCTGGGGGACCTAGACAATAAGGGTACCATTTTTTTCCTGTAGTCTACCCTCCCAACCAAAACGGGGTGAGAGGTCGGGCACCAATTGCTGGGGGACCTAGACAATAAGGGTACCATTTTTTTCCTGTAGTCTACCCTCCCAACCAAAACGGGGTGAGAGGTCGGGCACCAATTGCTGGGGGACCTAGACAATAAGGGTACCATTTTTTTCCTGTAGTCTACCCTCCCAACCAAAACGGGGTGAGAGGTCGGGCACCAATTGCCGGAAAACCTAGTCAACCAACTTGGCTGTCACGGATTCTTGTCAGCCACCGGGGAGCACAGCACCCCACCCCACTGACGCTGCCGTGAGCTCCCCGGGGGCCCGGGCTCAGCAGCACGTTGTTGGGCGTCACGTCGCGGTGCACGAAGAAGCGCTCGTGCAGCGCGGCTAGGCCTGAAGGACGGATACCCCGGAAAGAATCTCAAACGGGGGTTCGTCTCTCGCTCTCTCTCTCTCTCTCTCTCCCTCTCTCTCTCTCACGAATTTCCCGTAAACCGTTCCCAGGCTTCCGGAGGCCTGAAAATCTCGAGAACTCAAGCCGGCCATTCGCTTTTTCGTCCCCTGGACAAAATACAACAAGTACCTCAACCCCGCTTGGGCTTTATCTCCGCTTCCACAACCCGCCTGGACAAGCCTGTTGAAAAGACTCCCCCACCCCCCACCCCCCTCCCTCCCCTCCCTCCCCGCCCTCCTTCCCTCCCTCCCCTTGTAAGAAGCCCCCCCACCCCTTTGAAAAAACCCAAACCGACGAAGCCCCCCCCCTACCCCCCAGCGACCCACCGCGCCAGCGCAAGTTGCTTTGGTCTCCCCCCGACGCCTTGCAGCAGCTGCTGCGAAAGGTTCTTTACGTGCGCCTCCGAGAGGCGCAACGCCTTCTGCTCGATGACCTCGAGCTGACTTGATCCCCTCGAAATCCCCTTCTTGGGGTTGGCGATTTACGTCATGTGTCAAAAACGACACCATAATGTTGGGGGCTGGGGGTTGCCAAAAAAAAAAAAGGCACGACTGGGGGACCTAGGTTGGCATCCGCCAAAAAGTCATGCAATCCCGGGTATGACTAGGCTTTCCAGTAGAGAGGTTAGAATAAGGGTACCAACTTGTTTCCTGTAGTCTATTTTAGTAGGGGAACCCTTCCCCAAAAAAAGTAAAAGGGGGAACCTAGGTTGGCATCCGCTAAAAAGTCATGCAATCCCGGGCGTGACTAGGCCCTCCAGTAGACAGGCTAGAATAAGGGTACCAACTTGTTTCCTGTGGTCTATTTTAGTAGGGGAACCCTTCCCCCAAAAATGTAGAAGGGCACTACTGGGGGACCTAGGTTGGCATCCGCTAAAGTCATGCAATCCGGGTACGGCTAGGCCCTCCAGTAGCGAGGTTAGAATAAGGTTGCCAACTTGTTTCCTGTGGTCTATTTTAGTAGGGGAACCCTTCCCCAAAAAAGGTAAAAGGGCACTACTGGGGGACCTAGGTTGGCATCCGCCAAAGTCATGCAATCCCGGGCGTGACTAGGCCCTCCAGTAGACAGGTTAGAATAAGGGTACCAACTTTTTTCCTGTGGTCTATTTTAGTAGGGGAACCCTTCCCAAAAATGGTAAAAGGGCACTACTGGGGGACCTAGGTTGGCATCCGCCAAAGTCATGCAATCCGGGTACGGCTAGGCCCTCCAGTAGAGAGGTTAGAAAAAGGGTACCAACTTTTTTCCTGTGGTCTATTTTAGGGGAACCCTCCCCCAAAGAAGGGTCAAAGGGCACTACTCAGGGACCTCGGAAATATGTCATGCAATTCTTTAGCCCTGAGGAATTTCTCCAAAGTGGGTCAAACTTAATGGCCATCAGCTGAACTCAAATGGGTCCCTGTCAACCCCAAGTCGTGGCTTTTGACCATGCCATCCATTTGCTCCCCCCCCCCACAAAAAAAAAAAGGTCCAGTAGTGAAATCGGTTTCCCGCAAAGCCAACAAAAGACAATTAAAACTTATTCATTTCAGCGAATGGAAGATACAGAATTCCTGGTAGCTCCGAAAGGCTCCCTCTTCAGAGGCAAAGTTCGGCAAAAGTTACGGTAATTCCAAAGGCGGAATTCAGGGATCCCCACGGAAAGGACCTTTATCATGGTGAGCTGGATACGGCTGGATATGCCCCCCTGTGAGCTCCCCATAAAATTTTGCAGAAGCTTGGATACCATGGCACCCCCCCGAACCAGGAGGGTCCATGCTGTGGATGGACGAAATCCGTTCGCACCACTTCAAAGCCATAGAAAACCACTAGTTTGTTGGTATTTTCAGGGGAATCATCCTTCTAGGGTCCCCCCCCCCCCAAGTCTCCAGGATGCCCTCCCATCGAAGCATCAAATTGAGTTACCCTCCCTCCAAATCACATGGCACCTGCCGTTCCAGACCCGGTCCCTTTGACAGGAGAAATGGTCCAAGCCCTCTAACATGGCACCTGAAAAAATCAAGTTGCCTCTTGGAGGGACCAGGGCTCCCTAGATTTCCCCTTAAAACATCACCCCCACCAACTCACCTTTCATGGTTTCAAACCACCTGCAAAACCCCCGTGGGAAAGATGGTAATTACTCGCCTTCTTCAGGTCCCCGTCCATGAACTCCATGACCAGGTGCAGCGCCTGCCGTCGGGGCTTTTATTGAAGCCCCCAGAAAAGGATTGGCAGAGCTCAGCGCACTTTAAGGGAAGAAACCAAACAAACCCCAAAAGAACCTGCGTGTTTTAAGTGTTTGAGATAAAGTCGATGGACAAGTCACCCCGATTTTGGCAGTTCAGTTCAAAAGTTCAAAGCAAAGACAGTTTGAAGCCCTGAAACCTGCACAAAATGACTTTCCATTAAACCTTTACGTCAGATCTTTAGCTCGGAAGAGCAACCCATTTGGGCGATCGTCTTTTTGGGAGTCGGTCCCCAACCTTAAGCCCCCTGCAAAAAAAGAGAGAGAGTATTTCCAGTAGTGATCGATTCCTTTTAAAACCCACAGGTGTTCTTTTGTAACAAAAAAAAGTCTTCAACAAATGGAAGAGACCGTTGGAAGCCCCGCTCGTTTGTCCCTTTCCTTTCTGGGGGCTTTGCGAGAGATGCTCCCCGCTCCTCGCCCTCCACAAAGACGTCCAGGCAGCTCATCACGTTGGGATGGCGGATGGCCTGTTAGGCGATCGATCGATCTCCGCCGGGAAATGGCCTTTGGGGCGGGTTTTGTTCGGTGTGAGGTGCGGGGAAGTTGTTGTTTTTTTTGGGACGCCCGAAGGAAACTCATCGATTTTTGGGGGGGTTCAAAGAAACCTTCCCCAAGCATTCAAGCCTTCAAACTGCGAAGTGTCCTTGCCTCACTTACGTTTGAAGGGAAAAAGAAGGAAACTCATCGATTGTGCGGTAAACCAGCTTTAAACCATCCCAAAAGCATCAAGCCGACAAAGGTAAAACTTCTGATCGAGTGGATGGGCCGGAAAGCGTCTGGACTTTTTGTCTACCGCCAACACGGTCCTCCCAGATGGGATGAGTTCTGTTGGTTTTGCTGGGTGAAAGGAATGAACGAAACCCGAACAGGCAACAAGTTACAAAAAGGTCAGCGATCTGCCCATATGTGGCCTTTTGGAAAAATGGATGGCCCTGGTAAGTTGGATGACACCCACCTAAACCAGTGGAACCCATCTATTTTTCGCCAAACTAACCTAAAAAGGACACCTATGGATCCGCCAGGCAGCAAATTTCGAGCGCCGATCGATTCGCTCGAACGGGGAATGGGGTGGGCCTGTCCATGGCCCAAGGCACGCCCAGGCCACCAGATTTGCCCTATCCAAAACAAAGATACGGGTGTGGGTCCAAATGAAACCAGGAAATGGACCGCAGGTTGAAATGTCCATGTGTCCATTTGCCACCGTGCCGTTTTGGGGGTACCCTTTTTGACCCACACCCATATGTCATATGTTGCAGGAGGTGACAGACATGGCCCCTAACCAAGGGCTGGAATGACAAGTTCAAACCCAGGCAAACACTGAAAGGACAGGTTCCTCGAGAAGGACCCCAAAGGGCGATCCCAACCAGAAATATGCGCGGCAAGATCTGTTCTAATGGAGGATGAGCGCACCGGGTTTGACTGCGACTCGCTAAATGTTCCTGGAGTCCACCCCTTGAAAAGAGGTGGGGAAATTCAGAGGAAATTCCGCGGCCCTTCTCCCCAGATTTCAGCCCCCAAATAAAAACCACGGCAAGGACCGACCCCCCCCAATTTGGATGACCTTCCTTGACGGCAAGCCCCGCGAAATTCGGTTCACCCCCTTTCCTTTGAGAGTGGCCCGCTCCGGGTTTCGAAGGGTGAACCCTGGACCTTGGATCCAACCCTTCAAATCTCGAACAAAGCCTGGGAAGACGGGGGGCCCATTCTCGCTTCCCGAGTGGATCGGCCACAAAGGTCCAGGACACTTGCCGTTCTCAGGCAAGCAAACCCCGAAAGTGCCTCCAGTCCGAGTCCCGTTACTCAGGGAGTGAGAAGCACATTGATCCATCCCAAATCGCCCAAATCGACCGAAGCTCCCCAAGAGCTTTGCCCTGAGTCAGTCGCCTGCATCACCTTGATCTCCCTCAAGGCGGTGAAGCCAATTCCTCCAACCTCAACTCGCGATTTCTCGTTTGGCACGGAGCCAGTCCCGCCTCGTCGACTCCATCAAAAAAGAACAAAAAAGCGAGTTGCCACCCCCTCAAGTGACAAGCTGATAGAAAAGAGAAGCTCTGGGGTTCAGTTTCCACACATGGGAATCACCCCTATTTTCCGCACACCAACGCAGCCGGAGCGTTCCCCTAGGCTTTCCGAGAAAAAGAAAACAACAACTCGCGGGCCATGGGGCGTCCCGGTCTGCCGCGGACACCTTGGCCCGCTTGATGGCCACCACCTGCCCCGTCTTCACGTGGAAGGCCTGGCTTGAGGGGCTGAAGGCCGGGGCTGTGCGCAAAAACCGGGGAAGGGCCACGGTGCCCGAGAAGGGAAAGCCCGAAAAACACGCGGACGCTTAAAAGGGGCTGCTTACGTGGGTTGCCCGAAAAGGAAAACAAACTCGGACAACTCCCTGCCATTTTGCCATGCGGGGGGCAAAATATGAGTACTTATTTTGCCCTTGTGCACCCTCCCATCCACGCTGCCATGGAACCGGCTGAGGGGTGGGAGATGTTGCCCAACACGCAGGAGGAAGAAAGGTGGTCGGGATTTGCGCTTGGTTTGGGGTGGTTTCCCAACCCCCTACAAGAACCAGGGGTGCAAGGGGAGCGAATTATGGTTGGAAAAGTAATTCTGAGAGCCCCTCGAAGTCTTCACTTTAAGGTACTTCAACTCAGTCGCCCCAAGGACCTGGCAACAAACAAATCACCTTTTGGAATTTTCGATGCGGACCCGCGGAGGCTCAAGGTTCAACCCCCTCCCATTTCATCAGATAAAATAGGGTAAGCCCATCCCTATTGGAAAATAGAATGACATATATTTTTTGAGGCGGTCGACTCGCTCTCGCTTTCGCCTAAGGCACCCAGAAATTATGTTTGACTGGGGAAAAGAGCACGATCGGTCATGTTACTCAGTTGTTCAGCTAGTCCGTGCTTCTTCCTACCTTCCTGGTCTTCAGGATAAGTTGGAAGACCTCGCCTCAGTTGTTCAGTGACCCCGGGAAACAAAGGGGGCCCTTTTTGGGGCTTGGACCATTTTTTTGGGGGGGGGGCGACCATTTTTGGGGGGGCAGCCACCAAAAAAGGGACAAAGAATTGGTGCCACTGAACCACTGAGATGAAAGTCGGATCCAACTGATATGGACCTTATGTTCGCTGAACGTGCTCGCTTCCCCACGTTCATGCACCCCCAATATTGCGTATAACTGCCATTTGCGTTTTCGCCCCCTGGGAAAAATAGATTAAACAATATGTCCAGTAGTGAAATCGATTCCTTTTAAAACCAACGGGGGACAATAAAAATCCGACTTTCAGGGCCCGAGCTTATCCGGCGGAAAACTCCTGAGTGGTCCAAAGCGAATCGAGCGGTCGAACACTTCTGTCCATTTTAGGGGGTTCACCCTCTGTAAAAGGGCACGGGGGGCTCGAATTTTCAGGGTGAACTGGGGAGAAGACCAAGGTTTTCATTTCGATGGGTCGATTCGCTTTGGACCACTACGGTTTTCTTTTCCAGGGCCCTGCAGGTCAGCTTTTCCCTCGCCTTGTGCACCTTGCCGTAGGTCCCCTCCCCGATGTTCGACTCCAGGCGCTCGTACTTCGCCGCCGGGGAGCACATCGAGGCGATGGAACCAGGGGACGCCAAGATGCCGGGGGATGTGGTCGCTGGGGAAGTGACCTCGGCAGCCGAATTTCGTGAACGGGGCTCCCGTCCAGCTGGGTGTCTCCCCCGTTCTTCGTGCGGGACCCCAACAAAGCCAAAATGGCTGGCGTGCTTTTGGATTCCCTAAACCACCAAAAATGGGTACCCACAAAAGAAGACGAGCCACCCATTCCCCCTTAAACATCAGGAGGAAATTCATCAAATGGTCCCAAAAGTGATGCTTTAATGTTGGACTCTGCTTAGTGTGATCCCCCCCCGTGGAACTAGTCGGCGGGACTCTCTTTAGGGAGATCCTGGGGGTCCGGGAGGGCAGTACTTACTTAGTATTGCCAATTCTACTTTAGTATTGCCAAGGCTGACTCTCAGATCCCCAGTACTTACTTTAGCATTGCCAATTCTACTTTAGTATTGCCAAGGCTGACTCTCAGATCCCCAGTACTTACTTTAGTATTGCCAATTCTACTTTAGTATTAAGGGTCGTTTTTTTCAGCAACCCCCGAAACCAGTTGGACACTAAAGAGGACCCCAAAACAGTCGCATTAAAGAGGATCTGGGCCTCTTGTGGGCACCCCCCTTTGTGTGACTGTTTGCCCGCACTTTTTTGTAAAGAAGTTATCTTAAATTTGATGGTTTGGGAACAACTTGCAAAATCGATTTCCTAGATCTCAGGCCTTTAACCTTTGAGCTGGGGAGAGCTTAGGATGAGTCCCCTTCTTTAAAAGTAAAAGGCTGAGGCTTTGGTTTTCAGTTTTCAGCAACCCCGAAACCACTGGACACTAAAGAGGACCCCAAAACAATCGCATTAAAGAGGATCTGGGCCTCTTGTGGGCACCCCCCTTTGTGTGACTGTTTGCCCGCACTTTTTTGTAAAGAAGTTATCTTAAATTTGATGGTTTGGGGACCACTTCAAGAAAACAATTTCCCAATTCTAGCTCAGAACCAGCCTCCAGCTCAACAGGAGCTACCAAGGCTTAGCAAGTTTAGCCTGAGCCCGAGCAAATCCAGAAAGCGAAGAAAGAAGCTCTACGTTTTTTTGGATTCTTTGGGGGGACAAAAAAACTTGCCACAATAGAGAACCCCTAAAACAGTCACAGGATTCTGAATTAGGAAAAACTATTCTACAATAGCGAGTACTATTAATAAAGGAGGTCCAACATTAACCAGCTGAAAGGGGAAATGATAGAACCCCTGTCAAATGGGGCCAAATATTAAACAAGTGTCACAGAATTCTGTCTTCAGCAACCCTGCCTCGCCCAGCCGCCAGGAAAAGCGGCCCTGTTTCTCCAACCCGGCCTTCTCTCAATATAAGTACTGGTTAGCATTGGTGGTGTATTGGCTTAGGATTGAATAGTGCCTCCTTGGAACTGAGCTAGGTATTGCTGTGGTGCTAGCTTAGTGTCTGTCCTCTTGGATCCTCGCTGACCAGTGTTGGTTTAGTATTGCTTGGTGCGGCCTTTGCTGGTTTAGCATTGGTTTAGTATCTCTGCCGTGTCTTGCACTTTCTGCCGGGCAACTTTGTTGCCTCCCTTTGCAACTCTTGTTGTTGAGTACCTGGGCCTCGCCTGCACTGCCCTCGTAAAAAATTGCTGGCAAGGCTGCTCTCAAGAAGGCTTATGGATAAGGAGTTTGCAGTTTGGGGGCACGGACTTGCTTCGGCTTGTTGGATTGTAAAGCAATAGAAAACAAACAATGAAGAAATTGCTTGGGACGCTGACCCCTAAAATCATCCTAGTTTCCTCTGTTGGCCATGTGATCGTCAGTGACCCACGTTACTATAACGTCAACCCCGGATTGCTCAACTCGGACCATCGTTTGGGGGGTGCCACCCAAAAAGAACCGAAGGTTCCCTCAATGAGACGCCCCTCTGTGAGTGGCGATTGTCCCCGGTGCCAAAAGAGGAACAAATACAAGTTTGTCGGTTAGCGTCAGTGGGCAAGATGCTTACTACTCTAACGCCAATGTGATTCCCAGATGGAAAGTCAATTCTGGGAAAGTCAACTCCAAATTGAATTCCTGACAAGCATCCTAGCAACCGACTAGCGATGTTGATTCCTCAGCCATCCTTCTTTGCGAAAGTCACAAAGTCACGCGTTTAAAGGGCGACCAACGCCGATGTTGCAAACGCCGAGGCCAAGGGCCTTTCAAACCAAGAAACGCGACTTGGCAAAACCTGACTTTGGGCTGGCTGAAAGGAAAACCCACAGAGCTAAGACAAGCCGTCTTTTTTCGAGGGTGCCCTTTTCAGGAGCTGGTTCTGGCTGGGTATGGCTGATTTCAAGGGAAGCGATTCGAAAGGGGCTGTGCGGTACTTCCGGCCCAAGTTAAGGCATGATGGGGGGGGGGGGGGGAACTGGTAGCTCGCCAACATTAAGCCCCCCCCCAATGTTCACGCGTTGTTTTCTGCTTGCTCTTTTCTTCTTCTTCTTTTTTGGGGGGGCCGAGGGGACCACCGCAAAAGTACGGAAAGCTAACGGGTCAATATCCAAACCGCCACCCAGCGGCCATCGCGGGCGTTCGCCCCGGCGACGCCTCGTCGCGAGGCGTCTCAGGCGGTTCGGCCCAGCATGGAACAGCCCGCCCACTTGGGCTTGAACCAGCTGAGCGGCGGGAATCTCAGCGAGTCGACTAGTATCATGTTTTACGACTGTTGGTATGGCAGCGAGAAAGTTTGATTTGTGTTTTTTTGGAGACCACTACTACGAACACTTTCTTGGAAAATATTTTGTGTGAGTTGCCTCCCCCATTCCGGCGCTGCCAGAATTTTGTTTGACGAAGGCAGCAAATTCAGGACGTTTGACAAGGGAAGTTAACATTCAGGCTGATTCCCGACTGATTCCGCAATCGTTCTTTCCAACTTCCTGTGAATTGGCGGGGAGCCTCTGCATGGTTCGATTTCCTAGTTGCGACCCCTAGTCTTTGTCAGCAAAGTCGCCAAACAAAACTCGGCCCTGGGGGTTCGGAACCACCGCGCATTTCATCATCCAAATTGGGTCCCAGGGCCATTCTTTGCATGGGTGTTGGGAGAATAATGGGTGTTCGGCTCGCCCCGGACCCGTGGAATTTCCATCTACCTGCAGAAACCGAATGAATTGTCTAGTCTCCAAGAACTATGCTAAAATTAGGACCCCAGCAAAAACTTATCTTGTTTGCCTGGTTAGTGGAAAACAAAGGGACCCCCCCCCCAAAAAAAAGGGGGAGCTAATTCTGGGGAAGTGAAGACTTGGAGTCCCACACTTCATGCATCCGAGGGTCTGATCTTCCATCAGTCCTGCAGGCCCCTCCAAACTCTGACTCGCACCCGCAGTGTCCATTCTAACTTGGCTTGCTAGGAGCTTGCTTTGGCATCCTGCCTCGTTTTGTTGTTTCCTTTTTGTTGCCCCAAACCAAAAACTGTAACCAAATTGCGGAAAAGAACCAGGTGCTGCAAGCTGGAGTGCTGTGTCGCATGTGCATGGCAGAGTGACTAAGGGCCATTTCTGAGAGCCACTGCAAAGCCACTAAGAGCCACTGGTACTCTCAAAATTCCTGAATGGCCAAAAGCCGGTAATTCCAGCTCCAATAGCGTATCTTGACGTTGTTGCGGTTAAAAAGCTCGTAGTTGGATTTAAAGCCCAGAAAGCGTCAGAGCTGTCTATTTGGCCCTTAATTATACCCCCAAAACCCCTACCACTTCCAGTGGGTCGCCCCAAACAAGCAGAACCTTCTGTTTGCCACGAAAATCGGCCTTCCCGACATGTCCGGAAAGTCCAAAAAATCGGAACTCAGGGACGGAGCGAGTCGTCAGAGCCGTGCCCCTGGGAAGGGAGGGGAGTCTAAGGCCCACCCTGGGAATCCACGGCGGATACGAACCCCATGTTGGGTTGCCCACGAAAAAAATATATAACAAAGTCACACAATGAGTTTTGAGGGACCCCACACAAAGAAACCGGCACTTTGGATGACAGTGCTTTCTACGCCTCCGTTTCACGTGACTATCGGAATGATAGGTGGCCTTTTTGAAGAATAGACGGCCCTGATGAATGGAATAAAACCCATCTGAACTAGCGCTCTCTATTTCAACCAGATACCCCCCCCCCAAAACAAAAAGAAAAGAAAGAAGGGACAAAAAAAACGGACACCTATGATTCCTATGATCGTAATAATTTGCCCAAGCCTATTGTTGCTTACCACTTGGACCACCACTTTTAAAGGTGTTTGTTTTCAAGGGCGAGGAGACCCGTCGTTTTGAACTTTTAGTTGCCAAAATTTAGAAAGGGCGGCCCAGGTTGCGACAAATTCTTACGGGAAAGACACCCCTGATAGCCCAGTCGACTTTGATCAAGCTTAGACTCACTTCGAGTGGATTCGAGTCCAGGGAGTTTGTGCTCGCTAAAGTGATCTTCCCAAAAACAAACGACTCAAGTCCAGAAACTGGAGCCAGAAAAAATCGGGATACCCTACCTAGGCCCTCCAGTAGAGAGGCTAGAATAAGGGTACCGTTTCTTTTCTCTGTAGTCTATTTGAGCAGGGTTCACCCTCCCTTCCCCAAAAAAGGGGTGAGAAAGAGCGGGCACCAATTGCTGGAGGACCTAGTACCCATCCTCCCACAAACATGGCACCTATGGGAGGGGATGTCAAGGGTCCAATTTCCTCCAGGCACCCGTCAGGTGCCATGTTCGTGGGTGACCTTTGGGAAAATGGATGGCCCTGGTAAAAGGGAAACCCATCCGAACCGCTAGAACCCATCTACGTCCAACCAACCTAACCGAGCAACAGGGCACCTATGGCTTGAACCCTAGGGCCCTAGCCTCCATTTGCTTTTTCGTCCCCTGGAGAAACAAACAAAAAACAAAAACATATTTCCGTTGATGATAGATTCCCTTTAAAACCACCAAGGGGAAAAATCGATCATATTCTGAAGCAAATCGAAGCTAGGTGTTTTTTTTCCTCAGGTGGGTTTCAGGCCCCGGCTTTGCCGGTCGTCGAGCCGTCGAGCCGATGGCGCTCCTAGCGTGGCCTCGGCCATGTGCTTGGCCGTGTCCAGGTCTGGAGCGGTGACGATCCTCCGCAGGGTCTGCACCTCGGGGGAAGCGGAGTCGGGGAATCGGGCAACCCACTCCTGGCGAAGCTGTTGGAAATGAGACTTACCCCTTAAAACTCCAAGCCCTGGGGAAGTTAATCTTTTACAGACATATAGCCCATGTTACCCCCAAAAAGTTGAAAAGTTGTGTTTTTAAGAGGTAAGGAGAAGAATAAGAAAGATGGTATCTAGACCCTGTAAAAATAGGTCCGTGACCCCATTATTTTAGGTAATGACCGCATTTGTATCCTTCTTGAGGCGACCTCTTCTAGATCCTCCAGATTTGAGAGGTCAGAATAAGGGTACCAACTGTTTTTTTTGTTCCCCCCCCGTTTTCTATTTTAATATGATACTATCTTTGTATCTAAGGGTACCAAAGAATGTATGATCAGGTTTATAATCTAATTCACAAATCCAGTTATGGTATAGATGTATGAGAAGAATAACAAATTCATTGGAATTATGTGACCCAGGATTCATTAACCCGTCCCATTATTAGGGGCGGATCCCTCCAAAGTGGTCTGAATCTCCACTAAAAGGGGACACCCCCCCCCCCCCTATTAATCAACCAGAGGTTTATCCATCCGGGGAATAAGAAAGATGGTATACTGGGCTGCCCTCAGATCCCCCGCTAAAAGTTTAACTATTAGTGGGTTAAATGGAAACTACCACTAAACAAGGCTAAGGGGATGGCTGGGAGCCACCAAGTGTAGATACGCCTAAAATGTACAAAATCAAGTTTGAATATGTGATATATTATTTAAAAGGTATTCCGGGCATGAATGCAACTACAAATGATTTAGAAAATGTAAGAACCCCACCGTGGAACCCATTCCACGGCCGAATGTCGAATAAGCTGACCCTTCTTCCATGTCAGACTGCAGAATTGTCCAAGATCGGTGAACGATCCAAGCAAATAGCAGTTACCAACCCAAGCCCCCAAGCCTGCAGCCCCACCCAAAAGAAGCAACTTCCGACGTACCAATGCCAGCGCCAAAATATCACCTGCCAGCCGCTTGCCCTCGACTGTCCCAACCTTTCGCACCAACCCCCCCCCCCCCAAATCCCCCAAAAAAAAATGCCAAAGCCCCCCACCCCAACAGCTTCCCCTAGCCCAGAGCCCCCCGCCCCCACCCCCCCCACCCCCCCCCCCCCCGCCCCCCGCCCCAAACCCTCGCGGAGGCGCTGCGGCCACTCGCGCCGCCTTCGCGGCGCTCAAGCCCCAGGCCGCGCTCGGCGCCCCGGAGGCCGCCTCCGCCTCCTGCAGAGGAGGAGGGGGGGGGGGGGGGGCGCATTTTGAGGCAAAGCCTTTTTTTCTCTTGTTCTTTTGTTTTATTATTAAAAAAGAATGTTGTTTTTGTTTGGCGGCTGAGAGGCCCTTCCACAAATGGGTGTTGTTGTTTTGTTGTTGTTTTTTGCTTCTTCTTCTTTTTTTTTTGGGGGGGGGGGGTGGTTTTATTTATTTATATTTTTTTGGGGGGGGGATGATCCACCATGTCCAGCCGCCCACGTGCCTCGAACTCGCAGAAGGGAGGCTCATGGCCCGGCATGATCGACTGGTACCAGCCTAACGGCAAACCCGTAGCGAGCAGAACAAGAGTCTAAGAGAAGCCTTAAAACTCCAAGCCCTGGGGAAGTTAATCTTTTACACACACATATAGCCCATGTTACCCCCAACAAGTTGAGAAAAGTTGTGTTTTTAAGAGGTAAGGAAGAGAAGGAGTGGGAAGTGGGAGGAGTGGGAGGGAGGGGAGGGGAAGAGGGGAAGAGGGGGAGGGGGGGAGGGGAAAGGCATCCAGCGGTTGCAAACTCAGCCTCATGCCACAACCCTGCACCTCACATGTGTTTCCAAGTCTGAGAGGTTTCCTTGGTGGACATGGCCCATGGCGGTTGGCTCCCTTTGGGTTATCTTTGGGCAAGCCAAAGCGATTCCCCATTTGAAACCTGGGCCCACATCTCTATCTAGGTCCCCCACCTAGGCCCCACATTCTTTAACCCCCCCCCTTTTTTGATGGCCTAAAGAAGCCCATTTGAGCAGCGATCAAAGGTCGAGCTGACTGCTGCCTCGCAAAAAGAAGGTTTCTACCGAAACAGGGAACTCCAAAATTGTTGCTGTCTCCTTTCGGCTTTCCTTTGAATACTAACCCAAAAAAGGTGTCCAATCCAAAATGACACATTGAGAAAAACACAACATGTCCAGTATTGATAGATTCCCTTTAAACCAGCACTGCAGCAGGGGAACATAAGAATAGATCACTAAGCAAATGGAAGACATCCATAGTGTGGATGGACGAAAACCATTTTGTACCACTGAAGAAACCCTGGAATGATGATACCCCTGTAAATACCAACAAACAGTGGCTTCAACCATGGTTCCTTAGGTGGTGCGAAATGGATTTGGTCCATCCAGTATCGGAGCGTTGGGCGCCATAGGCGCCTTCGGCCCTTGGCCACTCGCTCCCTGAAAAGGCGCTACTCCAACCCGAGTGGCGCTCCCCCACCGACAGCTGGCCCCTCATGTAGAGCAAGCGGTACATCCACTCTGCCTCAGCTTGGGTTGCGCTTTTATTCCAAACCCCACGAAGAAACCCTGTCGCTCAAAAGCGACCAAGGGTGGGGTTGGTGCCCCCCGAGTATTTGCACCAGTCGAAAAGCCATCCAGATGCCAATATGGCGAATCCATTGCCACGCCTAACTTACCACTCAGATTCCCGTGGCCATGTCCGAAAGGTGCTAACCCTTTGGGTCGATCTAGGATTGGGCGGGAGACCATTTGGGTGGCTATCGTACTATTTGGGGAGGTGGTACCCCTTTTAAGCTTCGAAGGGAACCCAAAAGGAAAACCGATGCCAGTTTTGGGGGTCCAGCAACAGAGACATACTCATTTGGCTATACAGATTGTTTCTACAACGACTCGTTCAGTGCAACCCGCCTTTTTCCTTTTTGCCTTGAAGAGCTCAGGGAATCAACCCCAGTGCCATTGCGAAAGATGGCCCAATCCTTCTAGTTGCTTTTTTATGATTTTCGTTCCCTGGAAGCATGAGAGAATATGTCCAGTAGTGAAATCAAATCCCTTTAAAACCAACAGGGGAAAGCCTCCGAATAGCTCCCTCTGTAGAAGCAAACTTGGGTACCCTAGCTGGCCCTAGCTCCAACAGCTCCCTCTTCCAACCACTCGCTAGTCTAAAACCTTCTGTCATACAACAAACACGGGTTCCCAACAACCAACCCCCCCAAAATAAAGGGGGAGACCCCCTTGTACCACAGCAGTGCGGGTAAACCCCGAGTGACGCCGCAACTGTTCTGAAACACCAATCCGCACCTTGGGCAGCAGCAGGGGGATGCCCGCGGAGTAAAGCTCGTAGAAGCTCATGAGCGCCTTGGAGAGAGTTTGAGAGATCGAGAGGGATTGATTCGATTCCCCCCATATAGGGGCAGAAAAGAGCATCCCAGAACGAACAAGGAAGGAAGGAAGGAAGGAAGGAAGGAAGGAAGGAAGGAAGGAAGGAAGGAAGGAAGGAAGGAAGGAAGGAAGGAAGGAAGGAAGGGAGGGAGGGAGGGAGGGAGGGAGGGAGGGAGGGAGGGAGGGAGGGAGGGAGGGGAGGGAGGAAGAAAATGGCCCCAAGAGGACCTGCGACTGAGACACCCCCTTCCCCTTTCACCCGGAGGGTTCACCTGGCGATTGTTCGCTGAGGATTCAGCGGAACCCCCTCCCATTTCCTGAAAACGAAAAAAGAAAAAACAAAGAAAAAACGAAGAAGAACAAAAAACGAGGCGGGGTTTCACCCCATCCAGGTGGACGGCCAGGCTTGTAGCAGGCTTCACTTCGGCCCTGAAAAAAGAAGTTGCGGACCCAAGGACGGGGTTCGCCCCCAAACCTTTCCGGAACTTCCAGAACCTTGGAACCCTTCACTTTTTGGTTTGGAGCTAAACATCGCTCGGAATCCGATCCGATTTGCTCGGTTACTTCTTGTTGTCGACTAAAAATGCGCATCTGTTTCCTGCTTTGACCAATTCAAAGCCCGTCAGACCATCCCATTGGTTGATGTCGAGAAAGGGTCGACCCGTCCTGTGGGACCCGGGCAAAGAGGGGTTCCACCCAGGACCCAGTCCTAGGGTCACAAGGTTACATGGGAGTCTCTCAAAAAAGTCTGTCTCAAAACAGTGCTTGTGCCTTGCAAACTTTTTGCTGCCAGCCAAAAAGGAGGTCCACTCCCATTTTGAAGAGCACTTAAGACTTAAAGCTGACCTTTCGAGACCTCTGAAACTGGACGGACCTCTAACTCCCCCAAGTTGCAGCCGTAAGTTGGGCAAATCCAATATGGCGGGATCCGGATCCATCCCAAGGCCTCATATTTGCAGAAACTGCCCTCACTGGTAGGTGAAAGGGCAACAAGCAACCGGTTTTTGGCTTCAACCCCCCTTTCACGCCACTCCCCCAAAACGTCGCCGCGCGCGCTCGAGTTCTCAGCTTCGAGGGGCGTGGTCCTGCGGCAGCATGGCGATCGCTCGGAAGGCGGCGGCCTGTCGAAGCCAACGCCCGTTCTGCCCAAAGTGGTGGCTTGGAGTGCTACGTTGCCCGGCTTGGAAAGAGGGCAAAGGGCCAGGGAGAAATCGGATCCGAATCCCAAGTGGGAAACCACCCCTGGACCTCCAAACCGCCCAATTCGGGTGCCGGCCTCTGTCCGCCTCCTAGGTGGTTAAGGGAAGGCGGGAAAACAACTCAATTGTTCAGCACTCTGGCAGGGTCAGTAAAAACAGAGTTGTTCTTTGCCCGCAACTATGAACAGAACAACAGCAAAGAGACGCGCCAGGAACGAAGTTTGACCCACGGTTTCAACCACCATCGCCTCCCTTTAAGAGAAAACCAGTTTCACATAGTTTCACCGGCTCAAGCATTCAAATGCCAGAAACACACTTTGCTGGGTGACGTGCCGCTCGCCAACCGCAGATAAAGGCTTGCTTGGAGACCTTCATCAGACCCGAGAGCGAGATCGCTCCAAACAAACACCAAACTGGACAAACTTCAAAGGGCCCCTGACAAACATCCGTGAGGGTTCCTGGTAACAGGACAGCTACATCTGAAAACGGTGTCGCTGGCAAACTGATTGGACGTCCTCGAAACAGATGTCCATAGCATCCCGTGCCCAAATCGTGGGATTGTCCCTAACCAGAACTCCGATCGGTAGCTTTTAAAGGCTCCCTCGTTATATCGGCAAATTTGGACATCCCCAGCTCCAGAACGCCTCCCTTCCAAAACACTAGCTAGTCGTGTTGACCCAGGTTCATCGACCTGGCGGATTAATAGCTGTTCTCGCCCACACATAGTGAAGAATGCCTCTGGGAGGGCGCTCGCCATTTAAAAAAAGGGGCTTAGCTAGGAGCATCCTGGGGGGGAATTGCGCTTGAAACCACTGCGCCACAGAGCACTTCAGCAACTCCAAAGGGCAACTTGCCCTTTACAACGCAAACAAGGGAGTACCCAGGCAGGGGGGGTCAAAAGGATCTCGGCCAACTAATTGTGTCCCGAACCAGAACTCCCATCAGTCGCTCCCTGAGCCTCCCCCTTTACACTCCCCAAAGCAGTCCAACCTTTTATGTACCACTAAAATAGTCTTCCCAAGTATGAAGTCCAGGAACTCAGGAACTGAGTTCATAGGCAAATTTGGATCAACTCCTTAGTCCGGCCCTCTTAGACCCATTTTGGCCAACCAGGCCCTTAGCCAACTATGAGAACTTGCCACTCTGTCAGTTTCCGGGCCGTTTGACACCAAAGAAAACGCGCGTCCCGCGTGCGGCGCGTGCCGCGCACGCGCCCCGTCTCTTGCCTTCCCGTACTCCCCGCCCGGAGGACGAAGCACGAAACATCCGCCTGCTGGTACGGCACGCTCTCGCTGCCCTCCAGGAAATAGAAGCCCAGCGGGTACTGCGGGAAGCCTGGCGCCAACTCGCAAGCCGTCCCGGTACGGCTTGCACGCTGCGGCGCTGCAACGCTACCGTCATCTTAGCCAAGGCCAAAGGATGTGTGGTATCAACTCACTTGCCCAAAGGACCTGCAAATAAAAGGTTAACCTTTTGGGACCTCTACCAAAATCGACCAACAAGGGAAAACCAAAAGGTCAGATCCGGTCGATTCGCTTTGAACCACTGAGTCAAAGCTTGGCCCCTCACATTCCTCGAGTTCCGCCAGCGGGAAGCTGAACCAGAGAGAGGCTGAGCTTCTACCCCAGCGACCCTCCGGAGTCCCAGGTCTGAAATGGCTCAAAGGCTCAAAGGCATGGAGCTTTGGCTGGTGGAACTAAAGACGAAACCCTGCGCAGCCACAGCTGTTGAATTTGGAACGCCCCATGTCACTGTCTGTTTCTTTGGTTCCCCAAAAAATAGGAGAAGCAGAGAAGCGCAAGGCCGCAAACATCTGTTCCATCCAAATCAATTGCCTTGGTGACGCAAATCCACCAGGCAGACATTGCCGGTCCTGTACATGGCGAGGCAATGCAAAAGGCTCACCCAAAAACCAACTTCCGCAGAATCCCCAGACCCCTCCGCAAAAAATGTTCTTGTTTTGTCGGTCCAATGGAAAATCCACCATGTCAACCAAAAAGTATCATGTCCAAAGATCCAACCAATTAGCCCCAAAGTCATGAGGCTTGCGAAGCTTGGAGGTCCAAGACGCGGGCAATGGTCGAGGGAGACATGGCTATGCCCCTTACCGCTTGTGGGTCAACCAGCACTCGCGGGAATCGTGACCCGCCAGAGTTGTGGCCAATTCTGGTTTTCTGTTTGAATAAGAGATCCATCTCTAGGTCCTTCAGTAGAGAGGTTAGCACAAGGGTACCCGTTTTTCTATTTAGAATCTATTTTAGTAGGGGAACCCTCCCCCAAAAAGGGTAAAAGGGCACTACTGGGGGACCTAGAGCATCCCAAAGACCTGCAACGAGGTCGGGGACACCAAAAGTCGCTTTGCGCTTGCGCGCGCGAGGCCGGCCTGTTCAAACTAGAGGCTTAGCCTATCCTAAGCCTCTTTCCTCGGGAAACGATGCATCCCCCCGCCCTACCCCAATATCCGTGGGTTTTTGGGGGCCGGGGGGGCGGGCGGGGGGGGGGGGGCGGATGGAACCAGCCCACTTCCAGTTTCCAGACGTTCCAAAAAAGAAGACAAAACGGAGATTGCCTTTCAAACTATTCGACTTTCTGGCACCCAGCTTTTACAAGGTGATGACCCTTTGCCTCTAAAAATGAACAGACCATTTGGGGAAATTCCCCAAGGCAATTTCACAGGTCGATTCTTCTTGGGCCAGGCAGAAGAAAGACTTCACTCACATGTAAGGCCTCACTAACTCCAGCTGACGCTGATGGCTCGTCTCCACCAGCTCCTCTGGGCCCCCCAAGATGTTCCGCGGCCGCTGGGGGCCGCAGTTGAAGTAGAAGAAGTGCCCCTTCTTGGCGTGCGCGGTGACCTGGCACCGATGACACCTCCCACACACACACAGATACACAAACACATACAGAAGCCGTTGCGAAACACTGACGCAGACAAAAACTCCGATGTACGAGAGATGCAGAAAAGGGAACAAGTGACTTTCAAAATCCCGGCGACTTCTTTCTCCAGTTTTCGGGGAACACCATCCCACCACCACACATAAAACATTCACCAAAGAAAACCCATAAGATTTCGTAAGGGAGCTTCTGCATTTCCACATTTGTGCCTGCCATGTGCATGACCGCACTTGCACGAGCGCACTTGCACGAACACGCTCGCGCGAGCGCACTTGCAGGAGTCAATTGCAGGAGCACACTCGCACGAGCGCGCTTGCACGAGCGTCATTGCAGGAGAACACTTGCGCGAGTACCTTTGCAATTGCGCGATCACAATGGCACGAGTACGCTTGCACGAGCTTGCACGAGCGCACTTTTGAACGAGCACATGCGCAGGAGCACACTCGCACGAACATATTCGCACAACAGGGCTCGCATGAGCACACGCGCGCGAGCACACTTGCACGAACACACTTGTGCGAGCACACCTGCACGAGCACAATTGCACAAGCACGCTTTGCACGCTTGCTCGAGAAAACTGGCACAAACAGAAAGCTATCCCAAGGTGCTTGTGCAGAGCAGCTAGCGCTGAAACTTGCACACAGCAAATTTCAACGAGCAGTTCCACACAGCACTTGCGCGAAACAACTCGAGCAAGCTCGCACTAGCACACTTGCACGAGCAAACTGGTGCTAGCACTCTTGCGCAAGAAAACTTGCACAAGACACTAAGACAATGGTTTGAATTGAAGCGCCCTTGGTGGACTCCATACCGTGCACAAAAGCAAATCATACGGCGCGCTCGTGTTTATGTGTTCATTTATCTTGAAATTATTCTTATGGTTTTTATGTGAATATATGCATACAAATATATATAAATATATATATATATAAACATATACGTACCAGGATCATCCATCGCTACTTTTATTTCTGCCTCCCCCCCTGTTCGATACTGAAACCCATGTTTCGTGCTGCTTTTTGGGTTTGCAAGTAGGCCATATTTGCCTCGAGCATTAATTCATGAAACGAGCATAAAATGCTATTGCAACAACTGGGTGCATTATGTAGCCATTTTGGCTTGCTTTCCTGTTTCTCGGTGGTCGTGGGGTGCGCCCTGTGCATGTGTGTGTGTGTTTGTGCATAGGGCAGGTAGTTCACGTGGTACTTGATGAAGCTGATTTGGCCTGCCGTCAGGTACGGTTGCTGGGAGGCGGTGGCTCACATTGGTGGAGGAGTTCCCGGCTTGTTTGGAAGGGGCTTTGGATTGAAAGCCTGGGGCGTCCTGTGGCCAGGTGGCCTGAACTGCCTGGCTTCATTGCTTTCAAAGAGGCGGGTCAGGGGCAAAGGGGGACTGGCTTTTTGCAAGTTGCATGAGTGAACTTTCCATTTCAACCAGCTGCTTTGCCCAAGCCTAGCCCCTTGACCTTGGGCCCTGGCTTGTGTTTGCCATGGCCAATCCGGTGGTGGAAAAATGGTTGCAGAGTGAGATGCTCTGCGCACGGGCAGCTCACGGGCGCTTGGCTTTGACCCCTAACGCGTGGCTAAGCAGGGTAGACCTGGTATCCAACATCGATGTGGTGGTACCAATTCTGGCACATTTGGGTGTGCGCCCCACTATTGCAGAGATAGAGGACAACGTGCGCCGGTTTTTCGCCCTAGCACGCCCACATGGTAAGCCTCCTGTGAGTCGTACCTTGCTAGCAAAACCAGGATCCTGATTGATGTTTGAAAGTATGTTATAAGTAAAGGGGTTCCTTCTGTGCCTGATCCAAGGTAGCATGACCAGGACACAGACATGGGTGGTGCGCCGACTGGTGAGCATCTTTGCTCGGTACGCCAAAAGAGGGCACTACCCTCGTGAGCAAAGCATGCGAGACATCTTCAAGGGGGCGAACATTCCTTTGCCCTTTGACCCCAGAGGCTTCTTGGCCCAAAGCATGGGTTGATTAAGTCTTGTACATTTGGCCCCAGCTGGCTTCTGCATTGATGCTTTGGAGGAAGGGCTAGAGTTAGCATGCTTTCATTTGAGCCCAGGTGGCCTGGATGCTAGCGATGATGAGTCCGACTCGTCCTATGCCTACAGCGAGGGCTCTGAAGGGGAACCTGGCTCAGAGGAATCCGAAGAAGAGCTGCCGGTTGAGGACCCACAGCTTCTTTGCATGTTTTCCCGGCTGCTTTCGCTGTTGAAGCCAAAAGTTGAATCAATTTCGATTGACCCTTGTGCAAGGACCCAGTGCTTGACCTGCCAACACATGGCCTGGAACTGGTGTCAGTTTCTTGGTTGCCGCAATCTGTGCGTATGGCCACTCAAGGGAACAAGACAAATGCATATGAAAAGGGGTGTTTTGTTTTCTTTTTTTAGGTCCACCCAAAAGGTTGTGGGACGAGAAACAGGTGAACATAGTACCTGCATGTTTCTACGTCACTTGTCTTTGAAGGGTTGTGCAACAGTTGGGGGCTTACCCTACTTTTGGCAGGGTAACCTGGCCCCAAATAGGTGCAATACCCAAACCCTTTCCCCACCCCGGCAAACTCAATTCTCTTTTGAAGACTTGTTGGGTTCTGTTAATCTGCAGGAGGGTAAATGGGACAATCAAAAAGCAAGTTCCAGTTGACCACATGTTGTGGAACTTAGGTTGAAGTGGCTGCTGGAAATCGCGTTGGTGACGACCCTCAAGGACACCGTTCCCAAGCACCCATGTCGGCTGGCCTGTGTTGGCACCTGCTTTCTGGCAGGAGGGCCCCACCTGGATGAGGAGACTGCTTCGACCAAGGCAGATTCTGTGGCTTCTTCACGTAAGACCCCTGCGTCAAAGGGTGCCTGGTTTGCATTTTCACTTATTTAGTGGATTGACTTCTTCCAAAAAACCCTCATGACCTTTTCTTGGCGACCGCCTCTGAGGTCAGTTGGTACCGTTGGAGCTGCCAAGCACTGAAAAACAGCCTCAACACGCTGATGTGCTTGCAGCCAAGCCCAGGGCAACTGGCAAGGTTGAGTCAATGGACAAAGACATTGACCTTGATGAGGAGTTGATGGAGGAACTGGCCCTTCATCAAGCATTAGAGGAAGAGTTTGCTCTCATGCTTGAGTTGCAACAAATGCAAGAGCAGCATTCCCTGCTGAACCGCTCGATCCCTGCCTCGAGCAATTTGGCACCGTCTGACTGCGCCTGGCCAGCAGGATGCGGTGTGTTTCTGAAACATTTGGATGGGGATCAGCTTTGCTGTAGCCAGAAAACTCCATTTACGTGGTCCAAAACCTGAGGTATGGACAACCTGGAGACCCTGCCCTTTTACTACACGAGTGAGGAATGCGTTCAGACCGCCATGGACGAGTTTGTGCACGAACAGGAGCACTGCATTTTGCATCCAATGGGTTCATCAACTGTCCGGGTGGGGTTGCCAGGAGAAAGAGATAGACCGCCTACATTGCCGATCCCAAGCCACGTTGATTTGGGACGAAGCAAATGTGTCCAACACAGTGCATGTGACTGTGACCAACCCTGAAAGAACTAGCCAGCCACCGAAGCAACAACATGCGAAAGCGCCGGTTCATGAAGAGGAGGAAGAAACACCACAGCTTCCGGAGGGGTATGCTTGCATGGTCAAGCCACAAGTGCGGCATGTTGATGAGGAAGAAACCCCGCAACTGGTGCCAACCAAGAGTGACAACAAGCTCTCAAAGCCTAAGATCTTGGCGGGCCTTCCAGTGGTTTCCCCAGTAGACCAAATGACCCTCACTGCCAAGCCCAAAAAGAACAAGGATCCAGAACAGGAAGATCTTGAAGATCAGGAAGATGAGGACGATCAGGACTCCGCAGGATCCAGCGCAGAGGAGGAGAAACCCAAGGTTGGCAGGGGCCGTGGCAGGGGCCGTGGCAGAGCGCAAGGCCAAGGAGCTCGGGGCCGTGGCGGCAAGGGCAGGGGGCGGGCAGCAACCAGTAAGAAGGAAAACAAGCGAAGTTGCAACATGACATGCCCTGATGCTGAAAAAGACGATGAGAAAATCAAGTCAAAGAAGCAGAAATGTGCAGATGTAAGTCCAGGCGAATCGGCAAGCGTAACACTTGAGAGCAAGCAAGAGGAGGAGGGCAAAGGCAAGAGGAAGCAGGAGACTGCATCAAAGAAGGAGAAGAACACAAAGCAGGATGAAAAAGACCCCAAACCCAAGAATTCCAAGGGCAAAGACAAGGGCAAAGCTCAGGGCAAAGCTAAGGGCAAAGCTCAGGGCGAAGCTCAGGGCGAAGCAAAGGGCAAAGCAAAGGGCAAAGCAAAGGGCAAAGCAAAGGCCAAACCGCCAAGTGACCCCAAGGAGGCTGAGAAACGGGCAAAGGCAAGCCGCAAGAGCTCAGCCTACCATGTTGCATGCTCCCGGGCCATGAAAGAAGGAAAAGACGAGGAAACTGCGAAGGAGATTGGCAAGCAGGTTACTCAAATGCAAGTTCACTCTTTACATGTTTGTTACAAGTGAGTTTGCAGCTTGATCTGAGGCGTATGCTGCAACCAACTGATCTTGCACGACGTGGTCACTGGCTGAATGGTCACATGAATGCTATCTTGTATGGTGGCCCAGCTGGCCATCACAAGGATTTCGGGGATATGTGTGACGTGCGACTGGCCTTAGCTAGTGGGGTTGCTCAAAAGCACTCAACACTACCGGCTCGCATCACGTGCACCAAAATGGGGTCATTTACTGTACCTAGATCGATCCTCTAATTGCGTGAGCAATTGCAAAGAGGCCTCTCGTGAGAAAAAAGGGCCAGCCATAAGCCTAGCTGCCTTTGTGCCAGAGCAAGCTTCACCTGTCTCCCGCCTTAATCTGCAACTGGCGCAGGCAGCGATGGCCGAAGGATGGGCTTGCCGGGCAGCAAGCGTGTCAGGCCTGCCAGCGCATGTGTCAATCGGTCAAGTGACACCAA